AAAACCACCAAGCTCAGAGAGCACCAAGAGACCCCACAGTCCTCTTCCTCCTCCTCTTTCCTTTCCTCTTCCTCCTCCTCCTCTCCACAATCCCCCTCCCTTCTAGCACTGATGATGTTCCCTAGTTGGGTCATGAAACGCCTGCAAGAAAACCACCAAGCTCAGAGAGCACCAAGAGACCCCACAGTCCTCTTCCTCCTCCTCTTTCCTTTCCTCTTCCTCCTCCTCCTCTCCACAATCCCCCTCCCTTCTAGCACTGATGATGTTCCCTAGTTGGGTCATGAAACGCCTGCAAGAAAACCACCAAGCTCAGAGAGCACCAAGAGACCCCACAGTCCTCTTCCTCCTCCTCTTTCCTTTCCTCTTCCTCCTCCTCCTCTCCACAATCCCCCTCCCTTCTAGCACTGATGATGTTCCCTAGTTGGGTCATGAAACGCCTGCAAGAAAACCACCAAGCTCAGAGAGCACCAAGGACTGTCCTCCTCCTCCTCCTCCTCCTCCTCCTCCTCCCTTTCTCCTTCTCCACCAATCCCACTCTCTTCTAGCACTGATGATGTTCCCTAGTTGGGTCATGAAACGCCTGCAAGAAAACCACCAAGCTCAGAGAGCACCAAGGACCCCACAGATGTGGTCTGTGGTTGTCAATTCACCCTTGAAAGACTGTTTGCCGGGACTTCGCTGGAGGTGAAGGAGAGGCATTCGCATGAGCTTCATAAAAAGGGGTTTTGTCGGGACAAGGAGTCGGCTTCGTGATTTGGGGAGGCCTAGGTCAGAAAAAACTCCGTCCACCTTCCGCAGTCAAACCAGCTTCCAAAAACCGAGCCAAGGTCAAAAACATGATGAATTCCCAAGCGCAGCCAGAATAGCCACTTAGCTCCGCGAAAGACCCTTGTTCTTTCATGCGCCAAGCTCATTAGGAAACGCTTGGCCCAATGCTCAATTGAGAGTGATGTTCAGGTTCCTGAGATAATCACCTAGCAGCTTCAGTTTTAGCTGGGAAGACATTTAGGCGGCTCCCGGTCAGCGCCAACCAAGAACGGTTTATCTACAAAGATAAATTTATCTTTGCAGATAAATTTAAGGACAAGAACAGGGAGTCGATTGTTTTGCGACCTGTTTTGCTTGCGCGATTCACTTAACGACTGTGTTAATTGCTTAATAAATGCAGCCACTTAATTAGTGTGGTAAGCCCTTGTCTGACAACCAGAACGGGACCCAACATTTCTGTGGCTCAGCAAAAGATTCGTGAAATGAATTCTGCCCCCATTTTATGACTTTTCTTGCCACCGTTGTTAAGTGAATCACTGCCGTTAAATTAGCCACACGGTTGTTCAATGAATCTGGCTTCCCTGTTGACTTTGCTTGCTGGAAGGCCATCAAAAATTGGTTGCATAACCCAAAGGATATTGCAACCGTCACAAATACGAGTCAGTTGCCAAGGGTCTGAATTTTGATCGTGGGGAATGCCACAACGGTCGTAAGTGTGAAAAACAGCCATAGGTCGCTTTGTAACTTCGAATCGTCACTAAATGAAAGATTGTTAAGTTGAGAGCCATCCACGGATGTTACATTTTTAAACTCTTTTGGCTAAAGGTAAACGTTTCCCTCGCACACCTGTGCTGGTTGTTCCCGACTCTAGGGGGCGGTGTTCATTCTCATTTCAAAGCCAAAGAGCCAGCGCTGTCTGAAGACGTCTCCATGGTCATGTGGCCGGCATGACTCAACACCGAAGGCGCATAGAACGCTGCTCTCTTCCCACCAAAGGTGGTTCCTATTTTTCTACTTGCATTTTTTNAGCAGGGGGTTGGACTAGAAGGCCTCCAAGGTCCCTTCCTACTCTGTTATTCTGAACAAAGCATTCAGGACCAGCTAGCGTCTTCAGGAACGTCCCATTTTTTGCTTCACAAATCAAGTTTCTTTCTCGCTGCAGGATTCCGACACTTTGAATGCTTCCGTTGCAAAGTGGACAATAATTCCACATGACTACCCACGCCCCTTCTAGGTCATCTGCATCAGGCTGACAAGCTATCATCCGCTTCCCCGTTCCCACAAATTATGACTTGTTCCTCCCGACGAGAAAGCCACTTTCACGCGTGATCGGTGGAGTGAAAAGGAGAAAGGAGGAGACGTGAAACGCAGGTGGAGAAGACAAGGATAATTGTCTGCTGATCGTGACGCTTTGCAAAACGCTGATGGCGGGAGAGGGGGGGAATTATCTACGGATAGTCCTCGAATCATGGCCGCAATTGGGGCCAGAATGCAGTTGCTAAGTGAGTTGGACTAAGGACCCCATAATCCTCATCCTCATCCCCTTTCTCCTTGTCCATAAACCTCACTCCCTTCTAGACGACGCAAGAAAACAAGTAAGTTCAGAGAGCACCAAGAAGCCCATAATCCTCCTCGTCTTCTTCGTCTTCCTCCTCCTCCTCCTCCCTTTTTCCTTCTCTACCAATCCTACTCTCTTCTAGCACTTGATGATGTTCCCTAGCTGGGTAATGAAACGTCTGCAAGAAAACAGCCAAGCTCAGAGAACACCAAGGACTCCCACATTCCTCCTCCTCCTCTTCCTCTTCCTCCTCTTCCCTTTTTCCTTCTCTACCAATCCCACTCTCTCCTAGCACTGATGATGTTCCCTAGTTGGA